ATCTCCCACACTGCTGGTCTTGATGGGTGTTCCTGGTCTGTAGTGGTTAGTACCTACCAATAGTGTCTAAGGAAGGACAAGCAGTGAACTGGAGACTGAGAAATACTATACATTGGTCTCTATGAAGAGAAACATTCAATGACTATATCCCACCTATTGTAGGGTAGTGTAAAAGTACCTACTGTGGTGTCCTGCATGAAATGCTGAATTTAGATGAAAAAAGCAGGTAAAAATGAACTGACTTCTAACAATTTTCACTCCTTTTACATGTCTTTCACTGAATTGTAGACAAATCTATGCTCTTCCTGACAGTATAACCATGGTAGCAAACAAATTGACACAAGATGTGCCGTGAGCCTCAGAGTGACACGAGTGCCGACCAAATGCTACACTGACTCCTATGTACATAGTATTAAACAGGTGGTCATAATGTTATGGCTGATCAATGCAAAGTCCCCATGGGTAATGAAAACCATTGTGTGTGTGTGTCCAAGGAAGAAATAAAATGAGAAGGTGCATGTAAGTGTGTGCATGTGTCTGTGTGGAGTGACGTATGTTACAAGGAGAGATAGGATCTGACCCATTAAGTTTACAGGCAACTCAATGACCATCAGTGCAGTCGGGGTCAGCAAGGAGATTTCATTGTAAATCCCCACAACAATCACAATGATAAACCTGAGAGAGAGCGAGAGAACCAGAGGGAGAGACACTGCTTGTAGCACTTTACTCTGTCCAAAACCAATATAAGTTTCACTAAAAAAATAACATCTGCTGCCAAACAGCCAGCTGGATTTTATTTTCTTCTGTTACTTGTTTAAACACTTACGGAAGAGTATTAGGGCCACTGCATAAATGTTTTTTAAATTCTGACTTTAAACTCAAAATTCTGACTTTAAACTCAGAATTCTGACTTTATTCTCAGAATTCTGAGTTTAAAGTCAGAATTCTGAGATTAAAGTCAGAATTCTGAGAATAAAGTCAGAATTAAAAAAAAAAATTATGCCGTGGCCCTAATACTCTTCCGTACTTACACTCTACAAAAAGAGGCTTTTGAAGAAATAGTTCAGGATTTTTCAAGTTGGTGTTAAAACAAAACTGATGTATCCCTATGTACTGTATGTGAGAATAGGTCTTAGTCGTTTTTGTCAGTTCTCCTACTTTCAACACTGACCTGAATGTTTCCACCTGGAATGTCACTATGCTGCAAAAACTGGGGGACAAACTCCACAACTTTCATTCTGCACAAAAAAGGCTTCAGCTGTCTGACTAAGCTAGTTTGAGTCACTATATTTCATAGTTACAGTCAATTTAAAACAAATTTTCCTCTTTTATTTACCTTGCTGTGGCAGAGGGATACGTTATAGTGGTCGCAGGTAAGTTTTAGTGGTGTTTACTACTAGAGCTGTGCTCAGAGATAAAGTGGAAACGAGATCATACCTTGACAGCTGGATCAGTTTTGTGGTTTGTGATGTTGGGACAAAAGTAAAACCTGCTCCTGTGTTTGAATTATATTTGTGTGAAATTTCAGAGTCACTCCTGTGTTTCTTCTGTTTATTCCTGCCTCAGCTGCAACTTCACATGAAGGGGAACATGGTTTGTGTCTGCATTCATCTGGTGTGTTATGAAAGGAACAAGCAATGGGCAGAAGTGTTGAATTGGTGAAAATGAACATAACGACACCATTTGCAAAGTTGAGAGAGTTACATGTAAGTGGAGCCCATTTCCACAGTAGAAGTGCTGTGAGAGAAATTGCACAGCTGTGCCATCACCAGTCAAGCTAACAACAGCTGACAAGAGGGTAAGTACAAATAAATACATAATGTGGTGTTATTTATCCATGAACCAAACTAAAGATACCTGTGTATAAGATAATGTTCCTCAGTGATGACAGTCAGCAGTTTACCTACAATGTAACATCAACACTGACTCAGCTTTAAGGAAACAAATGTTAGTGTATGTTATTATATCTCATATGGCCATGCAATCATAACCAAGAGAGTGCAATATTGACTATGCTTTTACTTGAGTAAAAAGCTGGTTGCGGATAATAGAACATACACACTGCTATTATAATGTATCCCTATGCCGCAGCATAGCAAGGTACTGTCCAGGGAAATAAAAGAGGGAAATTCATTTTAAATAGACTACAACAACTTTTAATATACCAGCTTGAATTAGCTTAGTGGGACAGTCGACGTTACATTTGAGGCTCAGATGAACTTTGGAGTGAGTTTTTGCAGAGAACAAAAGTTGCATAGTTTGCCCCTCATTTTTTGCAGTGTAGTGATGTTCCAGGTGGACACATTCAGAGTCAGTGTGGACAGAGGGAGAATAGACAATGATCAAGATTTATCCTCATATACATAAGGATACATCAACCTTGTTTTAACACCAACTTGAAAAGTTCCAAAATCTTACACAACCATTCCTTTAAGCCTGCCCCTTGCATATCTCTGCCTTAAAAACAGTTTTTAGGTGTGGCCTTTCTGGCTCTAAAGTCAGAGGCTGCAACCAAAAACATAACCTCAGAAAAGATAACTAATGTGGCTCATAAGAGGATGCCCAGTGCCTGAAAGAAAACAAACAGCAGATGTGTCATGTAAAGGACCTGTACCAAGCATTAGCCTCAGACCAGAATGTTCCTTGCTCTTCTTTTTGCCCTTGTGGCACAGCGGCCACATGTCTTGGTCACCTGTCAGGTCCTACCTTTACCTACCAAACCCTAACCGAACTGTACAACCATTTTCTAACAGGGCCTCAAACACACCCAGCCCTCTCTCTATCATCTCCCTCTTTATTGACATTAAATCACACTGTGCAGCAAATCTCTCCATTGTATATTATTAATAATTGACCATACTTCCCACTGAATAATAGCTACAGTTATTCATGTATCGGGTAACACATTACCTGAGGAGCATCCCGTCTGATAACCCCATCACGGAAGAAATTCACCATCATTTCTTCCCTCCGGCCCCCCAGCTCCCAAGGGCCTAAGTTCTACCGTGGTCACAATAATACATTTATTAGAGGTGCTTTAAAAAGAGCCCAGAACAAATACAGCATACCACATTCAAACCTTGTGAAGTGCGACTCAAAATCAATCATTTTGATTATATAGTGCAGTGATCTAAAAAGCAGGATGTTACTATATCAGTGAGCCTTATTTTATGTACCAGAATTCATTAGCATAAACTTGTGGCTCTAATGCATCCTGTGTTTTGCTTAGACAATCAGATATTGTGCAGTGCAAAGCCAATCATGGTAATGGCCGAGGCCTGGGAACGCTGGACGATCTAATCATCACCCTTGCAGAAGAGTGCTTTTTTCTAGACCTGACATTTGATATGTGATTGCTGCTTCCATTCAGTTTGGTTTTGATCCTTAGAAAACCACCCACGCTTTTCGAGGCTGGATTGTTTGGCATGTAGCTCATGAGTACTTAACCGAAGCTCTTCTGCTCACTGAGGTCAAACTCTGTTCTTCAGTGCCTGGGGTGTTACAGGCTGATCTTTGAGCTTGACTCTCTGTCAGTGAAAATTGATAATATCAAAAACAAACAAACAAAAAAAAAAACCCCACACTGCTGCAATAAACAACCCTGCCCTGCTAGATTTACGTTAAACTTTGACATTTTCCTTATCAGCATGCCTTTTGTTAGTTTTAGTTCTTAGTTACTGATGCAAAAACTCTCGGTTTTCCTTTGTTTATCAAACCTGAACCTCCATCTCCTAAGCACCACCCTTCCTTAGGCTTTGGCTCTGGTGGGAAGAAGAACAAGTGAGTAATTGTTTATCAAACAGCATGTTTATTCTTGTTAAGGTCTCAGGCTAATTACAGCAAAAAAACAAAAACAAAAAAAAAAACAGGTCAGTGACAAATTTGATCACATTATGTTATGTATGTGTGTGTGCACTAGTTAAATACCATTACCTTTGAGTCATGTAGACACACACACACACACAAATATACTGTACACTGGCCATTTAGTGAAGCAGCAAAGGAAGTAATTAGAGTGTAGGACAAGTCGCTGTGTCTGTGGTTCACCTCAGCCCTGAACACCAGAGCTATTCTGGACATCTGGGAAAATAAAAGGGGGTGAACTAAGAGGTCAACTTCAGTCACAAGGCTAATGGCATTAACTACTCATAAGGGCAACACAAAAATGCAGATTAGACTGTAATTGGTGGGTTTACTTGCAAACACCATGAACCAGCAAGTGCCACTACTGACTGCAATATCAGCAACTGATTATAAAGGTTGGTACATTGGCAAATAACCTCCTGCTAATAAAAATTTCACATTTATTTTGCACACATCAAAGTCAAGATGCCCTTGGTCAGGAATGTGAATTTAACAGTCATGTAACAGAGACTGTTCAGGGGAAGAGAAGAGGGGCTTGGGAGCATACCAAAATACAAATAACCTATCTGGACCACATCTAGGTCACAGTAAGCAAACACAACAAAGAGTTCAGTGGTTGTGAGAGGTAAAGTGTCAGCTAATCCCATTTTTGTTGGAACTGTCAGAGTTTTACTGTCTGTGTACATACCTAAACCTGTTATAACGATCTTGCCTTTGAATTGCTAACATTCGATAAGGTACATTTAAAAAAAATCTGTCTCACACTGAGCACTCAGAGAGAGGTCATTAAGGTTTTTTAGTACATCCCTTACTCGTACTGTCAACTGTTGCTTCACTCTGCATGTTTCTTAATGTGTGTTTTAAAAGCAGGGGTTTGGTAATACTAAAAAAGCAGCATTTTTGTATGCTGTAATGAATTAAAGAGTTGTTTCCAGTGTTGTGTAATCTGTCCCAGATGATCCAGTGATTTCCCAGCACAAGTCCATATTTGAAACCTCCCCACAGTATTTTCCATGCCAACACAAACAATTTTTTTTTTTTTACAAAGAACGCCACTCCCTAAAAGTTGTGCCTATCCTGGGACACACATGCCTCTCACATTTTGCCATGGAGTTTCCCAGTTGAGACAGACTTCATCTTGGAACTATCATAAAATGGGAGGGGGCCAGTACAAAAACAAACTCATGACTGAAACATCTGTTAGTCTAAAGAGCAGAGAAGAACAGACACATAGGTTTGAGGGGCAAGCAGATTTGCGAGGACTTTTTCCAGAAGCACCTAAAAGAGCTGTTACTTTGAAGACTATTATTTTGTTACATCTTCCTTGAACCTGGGGACATTATTCAGTCATATTGCAGTACAGCTGCCTAGCACTGACAGAAACCCTGGTGGAGTGTTTTGTTCTTTCACAACCACGGGTGATAGCCTCACTGTTTGTGTCAGTCTTTGGCCGTGTTAGCTGACAGACTGAGCAACATGTCAGAGAAGGTGAAGCCAGAGAGCGTGTCGTTGTATCCTCTGGGTACGGCTGCTGCCCCTGAGCCAGAGCTGCTGTGTATCTTTGGGACGGGGGACTTCGGGCGTTCTCTGGGCCAGCGCCTGCTCCAGACTGGCTACAGGGGGGTGTACGGCAGTCGCAGTCCTCACAGCTGTGGTCCCTTGCCTCAGGGAGCTCAGGTACCACACATTGAGTTATGTCTTCTCAAACAATAGAATTCATCTGTGTTTTCTTGGCCTTTTCTTGATGAATATTATTATTTTCATCAACAGATATTTCAGATATTTTAATGTGAAGTATGTGATGGTCTTAAACCAACAAAAATGACTGTCTTGATAAAAGTCAAAGTGCACAGTTGACTGAGCCAAACAAAGTCACTGATAATGCGTGTGTGCATGTTTGTGTCGTTACATTCTGCAGCATTTTTCATCTTTTGTGCAACATGTGCTTAACCAGTGAATGAGTGTCTCTAAGCATGCTGAGCCATTTATTATTGGGTGTGTTGCCATGTGTAATTGGCATGCACGTCTGTGTTGTGCAGGTGATGAGCCATGCAGCAGCCGCCCAATTGGCCAGTCTGGTCTTTATTTGTATTCACAGAGAAAACTACAGCTTCCTGGAGACACTTGCACCTCACCTCACTGGGAAGGTACCTTGCTATAGTCAGATGCCTTTGTGTAACGTTGCAGTTGGTTAATTACCAAGTTTTCACCAGGTCTCCTAATTTCATTGGTTGGAAGGTGCTGGTGGATGTGAGCAATAACCTCAAAAAGGATCTATACCCAGAGGCTAATGCTGAGTATCTGCAGAGGTAAGAGGGGATTGGGCACAAATTAGATTGACCCATAATATTCTAACATCTCACAGACCATGTGGTATGAATCATCTCCATCTGGTGGAACATGTTTGTTGTCCAGGCTCGTTCCTGGAGCTCATGTGGTGAAATCTTTTAACACCTTGTCTGCCTGGGCCCTGCAGAATGGACCCTCAGATGCAAATAGGCAGGTACTGAATGTGTCTGCTTGTGACTCCCTGTTTCCAAAAAACTTTGTATATTTGTGTATTGTATATCAAATATGTTCACATTTTTTGACACTTGAAAAAATAGAAATAGAATGTTTCTCATTTTGGAATTAAAGAGTTCTGCTTGACCAGTTCTTCTTCCACTGCAGAACTACTGTACAAGCATTTGACATGTCTCTGATGTGGAGTGTCTCTTTTCTTTTAACATTTCAGTCCAAATGCTATTATTGACTTGTTTTGAAGTTTTGATCAAATCCAGTCCAAGTTAAAAAAAAAGCCAAATCAGAGCAGCCAGGCTCATGCCTTTGCTCTGAATGCCATCTCTGATGTGTCCTTGAATCAATTACTTTTACAAGCTCTCTTAGATCTACACTTCATGTCACATTCATTGTTTTCCCTCTCTGCTGTGGCATATGTAGGCTTTTCCATTTTGATCTGCTTGTGCAATCCCAGAGGACAGTAAAATCACACAAGAGCCTTTCATGTGTTTGTGTAGGTGTATGTTTATGCATCGAAGTGTGTTAGTATATTTGGAGCACCATCAGAAACATCACATAATTGTTGACTGAGCATTGTTGTTAGTTTTACCTGCTTTCTCCATCTAAAGTTAATATTTCATTCAGGAAGCCACAACATGTACTTTTATGTTCACATGCATAAGTATAAAATAATGCTTTCAAAATTATGGATGTTTTCGTGCCCCAGGTGTACCTGTGTGGAAACAGTCCTGAGGCGAAGCAAATGGTAGTAGAGGTAGCCACCAAACTGGGCTTCACTGTTCTGGACAGGGGGTCTCTGTATGCAGCCAGAGAGCTGGAGGACTTCCCCCTGCAGCTGTTCCCTGAGTGGAGGCTGCCGCTCCGTGTGGCAGTCGGCCTCTCCGCCTCCTTCTTCTTCTATGTGCTCATTAGAGATGTCATTTACGAATATGTTGAACAAGGGAAGGACACCTCCTTCAGAATCATGGTGTCTCTGGCCAATAAGGTAAAGAGTTAACTGTTAAGTGTCCTGCAAATTAGCATCTGTTCCTCTTTGAAAGGTAGCCTCCAGCTGTGTTCTTTACAGATCATTTCATTTGAATCAGGCACATATGATCATCACAGTCACCTCTTTTGTGTGTTTATTTTTGCATCTTTCAGGTGTTTCCAATTGTGTCACTCATCATGTTGTGTCTGTGTTATGTGCCTGGTCTCATAGCTGCCTTCCTTCAACTCTACAGAGGGACCAAATACAAGTCAGAAATTAAAACATGAATAGATTGATTTACTGATTTAGTGTCTGTGCAGCAACGTACAATGTATTTTAAATACTGTATCACACAAGACAACATATGTCTGTTTAAGGCGTTTTCCTGACTGGCTAGATCGCTGGATGCTGTGCAGGAAACAGCTGGGACTGCTAGCACTAGGCTTTGCCTCTCTGCATGTACTCTACACTCTCATCATCCCCATAAGGTTTGTAACAGGTTCACACAGCCTCATGCTTCATTTAAAAGATCTGCAATGTCCTGTTAAATGTGTCATTAATGTCAACCATAGCAAATAATGATACATATAAACATGAAAGTAATAACTACTGCCAGTTGCCACTTTAGCGGCTACATCTAAAGCTAAAATGTATGCAGTTTATAACAGCCCTGCAATAAACCATCATGAGGGTTGTAAAGTGTAGTTTGTGTTGAAACAGTTTTAGAGAGGTGTTGTTTTAACTTTATGTTATGTGTTTCAGGCATTGTCATTTGTACTGCTGTGAATTGTATTATAATATTCTTAAAATTGATTCTATACTCTGATAAAAAATTGGTTTGCAGGGCTGTTGTGACAGACTGCATTGCCTTAACTAGGCGTACCCAATAACCTGTCAGCTGTGTGCTGTGAACAATAATAGGGTGATTATAAAGCATAATAATAGTTAAACCCCAGAGTTAAGTCGATGCAGCAAAAAATTCTGAAAATTTGCCTTCAATTGTTTAGAAACTCATGGTATAGAAAAGTGTATTGTCATAAAAAATGTGTGATTGCTGACAGCTGAAAAGTTATTAGTGCTTCATAAGCTGTAAAAAAGAAGCAGGTGTAGAAGTAGGCTACAGTATATGAGCTGGAGAGAAAGATAGTCATAAAACACGCTATTCTTTTTATAAGAAAAAATAAAAACCAGCTGGGAAGGTTGGTACTAAGATGTTTTCAATTACTGGAATGATTTTGTTTGGTGGTTGCTAAGATTGTACATGAATGTTCATTCCTAACATCAGAAACAATAGTTTAATGAAAACACTTTATGTAGGGTTGACTTACTTTTTCAGAGCTTTCAGCTGCATCTCGCAGTCATCATGAGCAGATAAAGGCTGCTCAGTTGACATGGAGATAATTCAGCTGTCGCTCGTCCTGAGTCTAGAACAGCAGTAATACGATGGACCAGGATGCTCACTGTGGTTGTCAGTGGACTTTGGACATGATTTGTTAGTTTCTAGGGCATTACTTGGTGGTTGCTGTAGTGTTGCTAGAAAGACAGAGGTGGTTGCTATGGAGATTCAGGATGGTTATAACGGGGCATATTGCAGGGTCAGTACAATGTAACACTGTACAGTATGTGTTTGCAGTTGTAATGCTATTTGTAGTAATAGTAGTACTGGCAGTAATGGCAGCAGTGGGAGTCACAGACAAAGCTGTGCTAGTAGTAGTAGTAGTAATATTAGTAGTACTAATAGCAGCAACTTAGTATAATCAGGATGCAGAGTAGAGGTATTTTTAGAAGCAGTTAAAACTGAGGGTAAAGCTAAGGTCCAGTTGAATTGTGGTTATGTGTTACCAACACATAGCAGAGCTCTTAATTGTAGAGATTAATTACAGCACACAGGAAGACAGTTTAAGCTTTATGTGCCACACAGTCTTTAAAGTGATGGGAAGTAAAAAACGGTGCCCTAAACAAAGTGCAGTTAAACAACCAAACACTGGGAGTTATACTGTTGGCTAATGCTAAACCACAGGTGAATAACACAATAATTTAGTAACATACAATGTGTTCTGGTAACTAAATGTGTAGTAGGTGTACAGTATCTTAATTCTTCTGATGATTTGTTTCTAAATAGTCATTTTTGTCCCCAGATATTATGTGAGATACAGGCTTGCTGCAATCACCATCTCACAGGTAAGACAGCTACACAGCTAGAAAATATGTAGGCTTTATATGTCCAAAGCTTTGTGTTTTTAATATGCTATCAAAAACGTATTTGAATTTAAATAAGAGTCATCTTTTCCCATCAGTGCAGACACTCCTAATTAACATCTCTCTCTTTTGTTGACTATAAGATACAGAAGAATCAAACAGACGAGTTTGTCACCGGCATGGCCTGGCGTACTGACTCTTACTACTCTATGGGAATTTTGGGATTTGCCCTGTATCTCGTGGTGGGAATAACCTCTCTCCCCTCTGTCAGCAATGCTCTCAGCTGGAGAGAGTTCAGCTTCATACAGGTGGATACTGTGTGTCTTTAGATATGTGGGTATTTGGATATGTGAGCTTTAGTGTGTCCTCATATTCACAGTGACACGTTATGAACACAGAACTTTGTGGTGAAACACTGGTGGCCACAACTGGAGATTGCTGAATCTTTTTTAAATAACAGTTCCTAGTAGTGCCGGGCATACGGCCTTATGAACAATCTGGCCAACAAATTTTCACTTTTACAGATGTCAGTGTTTGTGCCTATGTATGTTTTGGGGGAATTTTTATGTTGCAAATTGTGTAGCTGTTGTATTTTAGTAGTATTTTTCCTAAAAACCTAAAATGACAGATTCATTTGTACTCTAATCCCATCTTTACTCTTGATCAGCTCACAAATTAGGAATGGATCACTTCGATTTGCACTCAGATGAAAAAAGTGAGGGCATGACGCTATTTGGTGCCAAAAGATTTGACACTCTTAGGAAGGAAGCTGAATGGCAGACAAGCACATTTTAGAGCTATTCCTATGATGTTTCATGAGCCAGCTTCTGACAGAATGAAAGCAAACAAGCTCACTGGGAATTTAATTTGGGAAAACTGATTATCTCACCTCTTGACCGTGGCCTTGAAAAGCTGCAAATGACAGCCAGATTGATGATTCAGTTAAATGAGAAATACATGCATACAATATTAAACAGGCTCAATTAGTATCCACTTCTAATATGCCCACTGGAAATATTTTAAAGTGTCCTGAAATTTTCTGTGTACTTTGACTATTGCCCCTGTTTATGCTTTAGCCTGCTGAGGTTCAATTAGTTTTAAAATTTAGAGGCTGCTGGACCTTAAGGAATGTAGATACTGGCAGAAAAACTCTGTTACAATCTTCACATCATGTCCATTAGCCAAGATTTAAACTATGACTGATGAGGACAACTATGTACTTCTACACAAATGGAACAAGGCTGTTTGGACCAGATAGCAGTTTAACTTCCTGTTGGAAGGAATCTGTTGAGCATGTGTTAGTGGTATTCCTGTCTTTCCCTTGCTAAGTGGTTCACTATGAGTATTTACTCGGGCAGACACACATATTTACCTTTATCCCACTTTGACCAATTGACAAAGAAATCGGATTCACTCCAGGCAACAAAGGCATTCATAAATGTAACTGGGTCATGTCAAGCTCACGTTCTCATTCGTGCCCCTCTGCTTTTGCTCTAGCCTGAATTAGAGCAGTGTTTTAAATGTTAAGTTATTCATCAAATGTAATTTGGTGGGCACAGTCTTTAGGTTTGGTTCATGTGTGTGGAGTGGATCTGTGTGCATGCATGTGAATGCGTGTTCTCTATCTACTATAGTTGAATTACCATGCACATCTGTGCACACAGAGAAGATGAGTGTGTTGGAGTTTGTGCACATGTAGGCCAAACCTTGTCTCTGTAAAGGTCAATCTAGCACATTTTGGCTTACTGAGCCTGGTACACAGCAATTTTGTATTCAATGGATGTGTAACTCAGCGAGTGTAAAGTCTCTAAACTCATTTTTTTCCCTCTTTTGCAGTCCAAGCTGGGCTACCTGACATTATTCTTCTGTACCTTTCACACCTACCTGTATGGCTGGAACAAGTTCCTTAATCACAGTAGCTACAAATGGTACACTCCTCCGCCCTACATGCTGGCGCTGGTGTTGCCCTCTGTGGTGCTGGTGTTCAAGCTGCTGGTCCTCCTGCCCTGCGTGGACCGCAGGCTCACACGTATTCGACAAGGCTGGGAGAAGGATGGTCCACATGATGACAGCAAGAAATCACTGCTAGAATAGAGCTATCATAATTACAGACACAAAATAACAGTTTAAGCACAGAAAACACCGGTACAAAGACACAACACTGACTTGCTTTCCAAGAGCTCTAACCCCAGCTCACTGTTTTGGATGTCATTGATTCAAGACTATACATTTACATCTATTACTCTGTTCTCTATTGTTAACAAAGTCAGTGGAGAAAACAGTCTCTCTTTACATAATCAAACTGGATTTGCTCCATTTATAAGCATGATATTGCACTGAGTAGGTTTTCATCAGCTATAGAAATACCTACACAGAAAGACACAGACACACATTAAGGAAACTATACCGTATTTCAAGTAGTTTTCAACTTTGTGTCTTTTTCTCCTCTAGTTCTATAATCACACTATCATCATGTACATTCAGTATTATTACAGATTTCAGCTCAAGGTCAGATGACTTTGTTTCCATTTAACATCAGCAGCAACAGTGTAACCAATTCTGAGTTATATGTCTCAGGATTTTTGGTCAACCTTCAACTTCAGTATATGGTGAATTATGTTTATTAGACTTACTTTGTCTCTTTTGGTGTAAATTTTTCTTTTTTCTTTTTGCTCTTCCTTGTTAATGTTCCTCTTGTCATGCTCTCACTCTTTGTCCTGTCTCCTTCTCATGTTTTCCAAGTTATTTTGGATCCAGCCCCTCGTCTGTGTTACTCATCTGTTTCTCATTTTTGTAACCACTCAGCCAGCTTAGAAGCCAGGCAGCCAGCATTACCTTCCTGCCAGAGTGTCCATGCAGAAGCGTCTACTTTTAATCATCTGCATACATTCCTACTTTTCAGATTGGTTGTTAACTCTCTTTGGTCTTCTACCATGCTAGCTCCTAGTTTTGGACTGTTGGACTCACCAGTTTAGACCAGGGTGTGAATTACACTGTGCATTTTGGGTGACTTCTTTCAACCGACAGGGGGTTGGGGTAAATGGGTGTGGGGGAATGGGACAGAGAGGCTGCTGAGCTCAGGAGGTGATCTCCAATCGATTTGACACCACATTCACATACAATAATAACACGTGAACACAGCTCATGAGACATGATAACTAAAAAATATGCAGCAGATGTCCCAGTCAGACATTCTATAGGAATTATTACCAGCAGGTAGAGTCACTCACAGTGTGTGTGCTGCTGTCCCTCATTATTCAGTTATAATTATCTCTAACAATTAAGTTTCACTAAGACATACCTTTGTATTATCACAGGGATACACACTGACAAAAGCAGTTGTAGGCATAGATAAAGTAGATGGTGCATTATTAACAGGATGTGTGCTCCCACGAACCACAGTTTCTGGCAGATGATTAATTGCACAACATCATAAAGTAAGTGATCACAATATATACTTTTATGTATTATTTTAAAAAGAATAAACATTAAATTTACATGCAAACAAACTGAATTGTGTAGATAAGTAGAAAATAACTAGGCACATTACAGAGACCCCTCAGAAATTTTATTTTGAGATTTTTGTACGTTGGTTTAGACGCTTGTGTCATGTTTCTTCTGGTCCATTTCCTTACCCCTTGCTAATTTATTTGGATAAACCTCTGCTTGGACATTTATTTGTTTTCAGGACATATTCTGTTGTCTGTTCCCTACCTGAACTATTTGGTTCAGTTACAAACTGTATTTGCCTCTGAACCAGCCATTACTCTTGCCTGTGTTCCTGTCTGCCTGCATCATGACCGGCCACTATTACTTACCTGTCTTCTTATTTTCCTGCCTCAGAGCCTACACTTACACTTACTCATGCCCACCATTTTATTCACTTATCTGACCTGTTTATATTCGGTACTATGTGTATCACTATTAAAATCCTGTTTACAAACACCCAGCCGTTGTATCTGCATGTGGGTCCAGAATAATTTAGTAAATGTGACACCTACATATATTTTTCTTATGAGTGTAAAAAGTGTGTGATAAGAGTGTGAAAAGCTCTTAAAAATAAATTTCAGTGAGACTGAAAAGCATTATCTGGTGCTCCTTTCTCCCTTCTATATACATATATATA